GGGGGGGGTGTTGGGGTTTTTTTTGTTAACTTTTTTGTCTGAGTATAGATCTATACTTGTCCCAAGCATGTTTGAAGCTATTTACTGTTGACTATCTCACTACCTCTGCTGGAAGTCTATTCCAAGCATCAACTACTCTTTCAGTAAAATCGTACTTTGAGATTAGTTTTGAACTTTCCTCCAGTTAGTTTAACCCCTTCACGCCTATGGTTAAAACAAATCTTAATGCCTAAGCACAATTTTTCAACGTTGACATGTGTTAGTAAAACCGTACATATCATCACTTTTAACTTTTTTTGACCAAATACAATTTTTTCTTTTCTTTTCTGGAAAATGCTGTTAAACACCAATGCAAAGATGCTAAAAAAACTGAAAAACTCACGTTTTTAACATGACTTTACACAGCTAACATTACCAGCGTTATAAAAATGTCCAGCGTGCATGAGGACTTGCAGGAACTGTTGAGATCTGTTGGAAAGAACAACATTTTTTAATATTGGATATTTCTGGACTGGCTTAGGTAAAACCAGACCATAACAGTCCAGAAATGTCTGATATTAAAACATATTGTGCTCTCCAACAAGATCCATTTGTGTATTTTTTGCTCAGTTTGATGTGCACAGGTTTACATCTAATGCAGGCCATAAACGGGCTGTTTATCGATAAATGAAAAATCGGTTGGCCCCGTTGCTGATGCTGCCACCAATGTCCACGAAAAACGGCAGTTTTTCATGGATTTTCCAGCATGACCGATAAAAATAAATGTGAAGATCCGTGAAAAACGGCCGACGGGCTGGCCCCACTAACGGCGTGAATATCGGCCGATTTTTCGTGCGGACGGAAATTCGGGCGATAAACGACCCATCTATGGCCTGCATAAGTCACATGAGACCGTATCTATGAGTTGGTTGGGCTTCTTGCTGAGTCAGTCAAACATGCAGATAAAGCATGCAGATACCATATAGCAGTAAAGTCACCTTGTGATGAGTGTGTTCAGCTTTGCAGTAGTAGATCTAAAGAACAACATTTAATAAACTGTAGACTTTGCTGCACACTGTTATTCCAGTTTCTCCAGAAAATCTGAGTGTAGTTACTGCTGTAAATAATGTCTCTGCTGTAAAACACATATATTGTAAATGGGTTGTCAAACCGCTTTACAGCACCAATGTCAACCCTTTCAAGTTTTTTCATTGTTGAGAAATGTTACCATTTTTTTTCCCATAAACCTACTTTTACTTTATGGCATAATTACAGCTTTTTTGTTAATTTGTTGGGTGTGTTTGCTAAACAGTTTAAAATTGTTGTGACTGGAAGGCTCCCTGCACACTGTGTAAAATCACATTAAAAACATGAGAATTTTAAGCATTTTTGCATTAGCGTTTTTCCACATATTTTTTACCAAACAAAAAAAAATATTTTTTTGCTCAAAAAAAGTCCAAAAAACGCTAGTTTGCTGCATTTTACCGTGTTTTTCAGCATCAGAGCGTTTTTACAGCCAAAAAACTCCTCTAGAAGCCCACTAGTCCTGGGTTTTTTCCAGACAAAATAACGCCCCTGTCAAAAAACACTGATTACACTGTATGTGTGCATGGACACATAGGATAACATGCTGGGGAGTTTTCTGGCTGTAGGAAAAAAATACCAAAAGCCAAAAACAGCAGCTGTAAAAACGTCCAGTGTGCATGAGGACGAAGAATGGAAAAAAGCTTAAATGGTATGTCTCATCTCTGTAAATGATACATTCTGCAATAGAGCTTGTTCTTTTGAAAAAATATTAGACTTGCTGACTGTAGCACCAGATGAAAATAAAGGGAAAAAAAAGCCTAAAAAAATTGCAGCCATCACAGCTGCAATAAAATAAAATGAAATGTTTGCTTTGGGTTTGAAGTATATGTAGCCTGTCACCTTGTAAAACAGCCCATTCAGTTTAAAATAGAAATGAAAAGTAAAATGTTTATGAATGCATATAAAAACTTTTTAAATACCTTTTTTTTCCCTTTTTATATAAGTGATCACATACCCTCTGTTCTCAGCTGCACAAGAAGCTGGGGGATGAGAAATGGCAGTACACTGGACTTCCCAGTGCATGGCTATGCGGGGTTGGGGGGGAAGTACGTGTCAGCAGAAGTCTGATCATTGGAAGAGAGCAGGCTGGGTTCTCAGCACAGCCAGAAAACTGACCACAGTGTGCTCTCATGCCTTGTGTGGTCAGTCTTTAATAGGAAAGCAAAGGGACTGGCAGGAACACAAGGAATTTCGCACAAAAAGTAATACAAAGAGAGTAGAGAGAGAAGTACATGGTACAGCAGGCACATATCAGAAATATTAATGGTAGGGTTTACATATTCTTTAATATCACTTTCAGGCCTAAGTTACATACCTTGGACAGTTGCTTAACCTCTTCACGCCGGCAGCACACAAATGTGCGGCCTCCCGGCATCTGGGCCTAGGCGCCGAGCGGCCGCACATTTGCGTGCAATTAACAAAAACATATGTGCTGAGTGCGCTTTTCCAGCACACGTGTCCGGTACTCACAGAAAGGTCACAGTCTGATCTTTCGATCGGGACCTTTCCTGATCATGTGACCGCCGTGATGACGTGTCACAGCGGTCACATGATCCCTAAACCCCCGCCCGTCCCGCCTCCCGGCTTCTGAAACTCTTAAAGGGCCGGGAGGTGCCTGCGGGAAGGGGGTTAATGACCACTTGCTGGAAAGAACTGCTTCAGAGGAAACAAGCCACATTTTGCATGATAGGCCTTTTAAGGGGCAGCATGCATATCTTGAGACTTCTGCAAGGTGGAAAACTATGTTAAATGTATAAAGCACTGGTAGCGCACTAATTGCACACTGGTAGTGAATGGGGGGTATGTGGCAGCAACTAGAGGCAGGATGGGGTTGTGAGCCAAAGGGGGAACTTACAGTTCTGCTGTGAGCCCATAGGAAAACTACTTTGTTTTTGGATTTTATTTAGATTACATTGTGGTGTTTGGGTGTGTAACTCATTTCCTAGATAATGTGAAAATGATAAGGTGTTGATGAAAATGACTGTATTTTGTATGTTAAAGGCTCACACAGACTTCGTATGTTGTTTCTGGTTCTAGTTTTGAATATAATCACTCACACACTGGGTATACCGTTCAGGTATATCTGTAGAAATACATCATATCTCTTCAAGGGCCCTATGGAGCATTGGCCCTGCTTCTTTACTGCACACAACTTCACCCAAGGATTGCACACGGGATGTCTACACATCTAACACATTTCTAGTTTAGTTGTGCTGTCCAACCCTCCCTAAATCACAGCAATATAGTAGCTCTTCTGGCCTCCTACTAGGGTCACCTTTGCAGGATGGAGTGCCAGCCAACCACTGAAACTGGGAATAGATGAAGGAAAAATGAAGCAAATAATTTGTGAAGGTGCCAAGCAGTGGAGACCTCCCGATTTTGAGCTGCTAGAAATCTTAACTGATCAGCACCCCCTCTCATGTAAAAACTCTTCAAGAGTTGGATCACCATTTTAAAATAATTGGTATAAAAGATTTACCAAGTTCGCTGCTCAAAAAAATTAAGGGAACATGTTTTAATCAGAGTATAGCATCAAGTCAATTAAACTCCTGGGATATTGATCTGGTCAGTTAAGTAGCAGAGGGGGTTGTTAATCAGTTTCAGCTGCTTTGGTGCTAATGAAATTAACAACAGGTGCACCAGATGGGCAACAATGAGATGACCCCCAAAACAGGAATGGTTTTACAGGTGGAGGCCACTGACATTTTTTTTCTCTACTCCTCTTTTCTGACTATTTTTCACCAGTGTTGCGTTTGGCTAGGGTCAGTGTCACTAACTGGTAGCATGAGGTGATACCTGGACCCTACAGAGTATAGATATCCATTTCCACCATTAAAATCTGATGTGTTTTTAAAGTGTTCCTTTAATTTTTTGGAGCAGTGTATTAGTCATGCCCTTTGAAATGATGCTTCCTGACCATTTTAAAGTTAATTCATAACTTGGTGAGAGGCACCTGTTTACATAGCTCTTGTGGTATTGTCAGTCCCCTCTTTAACAAAGAAAAAAAAAGTACAACCAAAATCTTGGTAAAACGGCTTTTAATGCGTCTTTTATATAACAGCATATTGTAAAAGCAGCGATGGGCATTTAGTTAAAGTGGCTGTAAAAGCAGAAGTTTTTTGTTTTCTTTTTTTTTACCCTAATGCCTTCTCTGCATTAAGGTAAAACACCTTTTGTGTGCAGCTTCCTATGACAGTGCTCAGGCCATTCTGAATGGCATCCCAACATACCTTTCCAAAGCACTTGTGTTGCAATGCACCTTGCTGTTGTTGCATTTTTGGTGCATCAGGTAGTTCATCCAAATGAATGGGCTGTCTTACTGCAATGCACATTACGTGGGGTATCAACATATGTGTTACCGTACATGCACTGACAACGCAAAACAGTGTGAACAGGCTGTTAGCCTCTGACACCCGCCAACACTGGTAATCATACTGCTTTGAAGGAAAGGTTAAAAATGGTATCCTGCACAACTGTCTAAAAGCATATACGGAGGAAAAACGGCAAAGGGGTGCATAAAGCATAACCAAAGGCAAAAATTTTTTCTTCCTTTTTTGTATAGAGTGGAGAGGGATTAGAGCATCTGTCAGTTTTTATTGCTATCTGTGCCCTCGTTAAGGAGATTCATCCTTTCTATTTGTCCTGCTTATCATTCTCATTGAAAGTGTAAGTAAAAGAAAACCGCCAAATTTTGGATTGTCCCCCAGAAAAAAGTAATAGAGGGGAAATCGTCCAATGGGGATGTTAGTTGTGGGGACCTGGGGGTCCCCAAGGAATTCCCTTAGTGTTACTAAACCCAGGACCCTGTATTCACTATGTCTGGTCTCCCACAGTACACAAAACATGGAAGTGCATTTAGTTTAGTAAATATAAACTGCTAAATACCTTTTCTCATCATCAGTTAGAGCAGTCTTCTGACTTCAGCAGAGCACTGGGTAGCCTCCCTGGCAGTATTCCCGAGTGTAGCTTGGGGTAAAGTTTCAGTACCATAAGTGGTAACCCTGAGCCACACTCGGGAATACCATGCGGCGCTGCTCCGGGATCCCTCGATCACTTACCTTGTCCTGCGCTCCCACGATGTCCCTCCTGCAGTGTCCCCGGCAATGTCCTCCGGCAGATGCCGGCATCTGTCATTTGGGTTCTGTCCCCTGCGAGCGTCGGGACGTACGGGGGACGGAATGGCGGGAAATTTGAAAATGACAAAAAGTGACATTCACTAAAATAGCATAGTAAAACATTACTGTATCAAACCATTTCACATACATTTTGTCCCGAGTGCTTTGTCCTGTGCCCTGCCTGCATTTTTACTGTTCTGTTCTTTCTGCCTGGAAACTGAGAAATGTCCATGGCGTCCAAAAAGCGTCCCTTTAGGTCAAAAGTGGTTTTAGACCAGCTAGAGAACAGCGATAGTAAATTAGAACCACTTGCAGAATTGAGTGATAATGATTCGTGGGGAAATTCGTCATCAGGCACTGAAAACGATTCTGCGACTGAGCTCAGTGATGTACGAACTTGGCGCTATATTTCAAATTTCAGTGTTTTGGGTTTGATTATATTATTGAATTAAATGTATTATTATTATATTATTTTTTTATGATTATTTATTAAATTATAATTTCTGATTTCGTGTTTCAAATTTTAACATACCCGGGATGTTTACTAGACTCTTGTTTTGACAGATTTCAGTGAGTTATTCCTAAAAATTACAGGCCTACAATAAAAAAAACATACTTCCATGCAAAAAAATTGTACCACTTTGTGCACAGAAATATGGACATAATCAGACCGCTAGGGACGTTAAAGCTTGTAGGAGGAGTTTTCTTTCTGCTCTAGAAGGATGCAAAACCTCCGTCTGGGCAGTGCTGATTGGCCCTGTGCTGATCACATGCACTCTCCCAAGAAAAAAAAAACATATCTCTAGCAATACACACTAAACTGAGCATGTGCATGTGGGTTCAGTCTGTCTTATTAGGTGGACATTTGAACAAGAGGATGGGCAGAGAAGACAGGATCAAACAGCCTTTTTACACAATGCAGAGGATTAACCCCCTAGGTTCCACAGTGAGTATTTCCAGCATGCTTTACCACATATACAGACTGATTTTACTGTTGTGGGTTTAGTAACCACTTTCATTTGCAGGGATTTCCTCTCACTTCCAGTTTGGCTATGAGACAGAAAGTGAAGGGAAATCTCTGCAATGGGACACAGATGGCAAAAAAAAAAAAAAAAATCGGGGGTTATAACCCTCACTTGTTTTATTCAAAATGAAAAAAAAAAAAATATTGCCTAAAGTACTACTTTGGTAAACCTCAAGAACCTACCAGCCACTTGCTCTAAACCAGAATGTATATATGTATATAATACAAATAAAGTCAGCACACCCACAACAAATATGGTGCAAAATTTGAACTTGTATTAGAGATATCATATATGTGTGTGTATATATATATATATATATATATATATATATAAAACTTGTATTAGAGATATAAGTTAAAAAGAATACACTATATTGGCCATATAGAATAGCAATACAAAATATAGTATACAGGCATATCATGCACAATATGGCCCATCCAAATAGATGCCATACGAAGCCGCATGCTAGAGCGTATAGAAAATGACCAAAGTAAGGCAGATGTATAAGTGAGAGCTCCAGAGACTGCCTTATTTTGGTTCCCAGAACGTTTCTTAAGGTGGACCTCAGAGTTAGGAGCAGGAGGGGAGCACTGACAATATGAATATCAGTGAGTTGGTTGGGGGCGCCTTTGTAAAGACACTGTCGCTTTGCCGTAATGGAGCATGGTGACAATGTCTCTTTAAAGGAAACCAATACTGAAGGAAATGCACAGGTTACCACTGCTGACCTCCTTTTGAAAATGCCAATTGCCTGTCCTTAATACTTGGTGTCACTCATCTGGAACAAGTATAAAACATACAGGTGTGAAAGGAAGCCAAAAACCTATTTAAAGTAACATCAAGCAATGGCAGACTAGGTATTTTCTTGAAAATCCCCTTTAAAATACATGCTCTCTGTTGTCTGTAGTCAGTGTGTGAAAGACCTGCAGATTGGTCATTGTTGGGAGGAAATGATCTGTCAATTCACCGAGTGTATTTGGATTTACCATCGCAATACGCAGACTGCATATACATCCACCATGAACTTCGTTGTCTCACACCATTGTTCCTCAGGGCTTCATGATTCTTTCACATGAAAACCACAACTTGAAGCAACAGGAAAGACAAAATGAAAAAGTGTTCCACACAGTGAAATAACCGGCACTCAGCTAGCGTTCCTTATTAAAAGTATATTTAAAAGAAGCACTCCTATAATCCTCAGGTGCATTACAGGTCTGGCTGGTGCCTGGCAGGTTTTGGACAATTGTCCATATATCTACAGAGTACTAACATCACAGAAGGTAACTACATCTCTCCTCCATCGCTGTAAACAAATGATAGGTTGATGAGTTCTGGTTCATAGATAAAGCAGAATTCCACTCACACTGTAAAAAAATAAGTCAGCAGCTACAAAAACTGAAGCTACTGACTTTAAAAACAGCCATTTCCCTGTCGCACGATCCTGCAGTGTCCTCCCCACAGCCCGTTTCACCAGCCGTCTGGTGTTCCAGGCGCCGGCATCTTCAGTGTGGGCACCTGGCTGTGACAGCTTGCGGCTTCACAGTTGGGTGCCCACTGCGCATGTGTGAGTAGCGCTACACTTCTTGAATGGCCCCGTCATCTTCTGGGACCTGTCACGTGTCCCAGAAGACTACAGGGAGGGAGGGTAGGAGGACAACTTCCGCTTCCGATCACCTGGGAAATCGCAGCGGAAGTGGGAGCGGGAGCGCTTTAAGTGAAGATCATTGTGGTACTGCATATTGGAGAATTGAACATCTGCCGGTTTGCATATTCTTAAACTGACCATACTAGTTACAATCTCCTTTTTATATCTACCAACAACTATGTAGTGCCAGGACCTGCATGACAGGGTAGAAATTGAACTGATTGATTGGAGATCGAACAAAGACTGGCCAACTTTGGACGGGTCATTTGCAAGAGCTGTACAATGTGTGGATTACATCCTAAAAGATGTAAAAATGTATATAATTTTCTTTTTGAAGGACAGCTATGTCTTTTAGTTCAGTTGTCCTTTTTTTAAAGTAGAAGAAATGGCAATATAATCGCCCACCCTTTAAATGTTGCCTCTCCGCTGTTGTTATATCTCAATGTAAATCTATTTTTTAAAATTTTAGTCCAAGCAGTCACATGACCACAAAGCTCCGACAAGTGTCAGTCTGTGCATGTAGTGGGTGTGTATTTTTTTGAGGTCTGACAACGTCTTAGGGCAGGGGTGGGCAACTGTGGCCCTCCAGCTGTTGGTGAACTACAAGTCCCATCATGCCTCTGCCTTTGGGAGTCATGCTTGTAACTGTCAGTTTTGCAATGCCTCATGGGACTTGTAGTTCTACAACAGCTGCAGGGCCACAGTTGCCCACCCCTGTCTTAAGGCAATGGACCCCGGAGGGATGACATCACTGCTCTAAAGAATCAGCGGCATTGTTGGCTCTTTATAGACAGACACATTCGCTGACATTTTTTGGTCACTTGATATCTTGACAAACTGTATTGTCTGTAGTAGCTGGTTTTAGAGTCAAGACTGGATAGCAGCTGAATACTCAACAGCATTAAAAAAAGTTAAACAGAGACCTGAAAGTGTCATGGCCTGACCTACCCCTCCAATAGCCAGCGGGCTGATCAAGAAAAACTGAGCAGCTTCCCCAATGCATACATTTTGAGGTGGATGGGGGAATCCTCCCTGCTGCTTTTTTTGTATTCTGACAGTGGGGAGGCTCTCCTTCCATCATAATACAATGATCAGTGCCTTCGCTTGTCTGTGGTGCTGATCAAGCAATAAAATACAGACAGGGCAGTTTTGCAGAAGTCAATTGGGAGATCAACTTAACTACAGTGGCTACACATAGATTGAAATTCGTCTGGTCGCTGATGAAACAGCCATATTTGGATCCATATGTGCCCAGTTTAAATTGTATTTATTTGTGTAGTGCATTTCTCATTGGAGAATTGCTTGTCTGCTGTTAGGGCAGATGGTGAGGTAGCCATCTTGGGCACATGCAAACTCCATTTCACTATATCCAGTCTTCCACATTACACACAGCACATGGAAATGCAATTATTTTAGTAAATATAAACTGCTAATTACCTTTTCTGATCAGCAGTATATAGCAGTCTTGTGACTTCTATCAGTGTCTGGCTGAGCACAGGTTAATTTTGTAGGAGGAGTTTTCATTCTCCTCTGACTGACCTATGAGGCTGCAGGACCCCTGACCATCTGTCTGGACAGCGCTGATTGACCCTATGCTGATCACTTTCACCCTCCCAAAAAAGAAAACTCTCTAGCAGTACACACCAAACTGAGCATGTGCAGACTTGCCATTGCTGCTCTAACTATGACAGATGGATTGAGGACAGTAAAAGATGGGGAGGATCAGGGAAGACAGGATCAAAACAGCCTTTTTACACAATGCAGAGGATTAACCCCTCAGGTTCCACAATGAGTATAACAAGCATGCTTTACTGTATATACAGAATATTTTTACTGTTGTTTAGTAACACCTTAAGCTTTTGACAATACAATCTGAAAGCTGATGCACAGCTGCACCAGATTCTGTGTGCACCAGTTTTAGTAAATTCCCTCCAAAGTGTCCAGATGGAGCAACTCAGTCGTGCTAAACAAAAATGCTAACCACTAAGCCACCGTGCTGTGATTTCACAGTTTAGGACACCCCCCTCGCTAATCTACTGGCACAATGCCTTCTTTGTCATAGCAGTCACTAGTGACAAGTGATTAATTGTGTTTACACATTAGTGATGAAGAATAGAACCTAATGGTGAAATGAAATATCCCATAAAATGGCATTGTTGTGTAACAGTTTTCCACTGGCAGAATCAACAACCTGGAAGCAGACCATGTGAGCTGTGTAACCTTCAGCCCCTTTGTGGTGATAGGTTTACATAGAATTAAAACTAAACTAAAATGTTTGGCTGGGAAAATTTGGGGATAATATGTTCCATACTGTGTGTGCATTGTCAATAATGTAGATTTTGTTAGGGTTGTTTGTTGATTTAGTGGGCTTTAAAATCGGATGGATGTGAAAATTCGAAGGGGGCTTACTATGGATGAGGCCAAAACAAAGACGTGGCTTAAAGTGTAACTTTTTCTGAAAATCAAAACTGTCCATTTAAATTGCAGTGATTTTATCCGACATTGAAGAGTTTTACCTACTGCTGTTCTATTAAAATGAACTCATGCTTTCCATGTGAAACAAGTAAGGACTGATGGCTGCTTAATTTTTATATAACCCAGGACTCCTTATGGGAATATTAGCTGCCTGGCTGTCTCTGGATTCAGTATTTTCGGAGTCACCCACCTCGAACAAACATTAAGAACTTCTGATTTGCTTGTTCCAGGTCAGTGGCTCAGAAAATAATAAAGATGTAATGCTGCAACCTAATTAAAAATTAAAATAACTAGTATAAGGTGTAGTTGCCTGTGCTAGGACAGACACTGCACATACTGTCCAGCAATGTGAAGATAAGGAGAAAAGTCTAGCAGCTGGGTGCAACTCGAGATAAAAACCGTAGAGACTTTATTAATCTTCCAACAAGAAACAAGAGGAATCCGTTATACAGCAAGGTTGACACGTTTCAGCCCTACACTGGGCCTTAGTCATTTTGTTATGATTAAAGCCCAGAGTAGGGCTGAAACGTGTCAATCTTGCTGTGTAATGGATTCCCCTTGTATCATGTTGGAATATTAAGAAAGTCTCTACAGATTTTTTCTCAAGTTGTACCGAGCTGTCAGACTTTTATGTATATCTTCACAGTGTGGCTCAGAAAGAATTGAATCCATTGGATCAAAATGACAGCCAGGAAATTAACATTTTCAGGGTCAGCAGTGACAGCCTCTCAAATCTCTTAGTACAGGTTTCCCTTAAGAGCAAATGCCATAAGATGCTGCTTTAACTTTTTATAAAAATGTCCTCTGTGTGCTTCCCTGATACTATTCGCAGCTCTCTACTAGATAACTGGCTTCAGGGCTAGGACCTATCAATTGCCATCCCCCTGTCTAATGAGAGGGACATTATTGGTCACCTAACGCCAGCTTTGCTATCACTATAAAAAGTTTATTTGGGCCAAGCTGTCCCAGACAAACTATTTTGCTTACTAATGTATATGATGTTATCAGCGCTGTATGAACTGAATGTAGAGAGAGGGGAGCGAATGGCGCCATAAGCGCTGATTCCGCCAATCAGAAGAAGTACCCATACCACTGACTGAAAACACTGTGCTTTATACTGTTTGTAGCTGATGCTATGTACTTAGGCTTTAAGTGCTTGTATTGGACAAGGAGCATAGCAGTGAGCAGGGATTAGCCCTAAAGTGTAGCTACTAATAACCCCCCAAAAATCCTACCAGGCATCTTGTGGTATCTGCTGTCGGGCAGGGCTGTTACTTCTAAAAATGTAATAAAGGCTGTCACATTCATATTAAGAGTCCATATGCAACGTGTCATTTTGACTATTTCTCAAGCACAAGCTAAAATCCATTGGTACCCGTTGTCACGATCGCGGTGTCAGACCCCAGACCTTCTCACCAAACTCGTGACCGAAGGACTAGCCGATCTAAAACCGCAATGTCACGTGCGTAACAATGCCACACCCAGCTGCACCCTGTACATCGATTTTACAGCCAATTGGACCACAATCTTTGTACCGGCAGCCTGAGCGCTTGTTACTGGGTCAGGTTAATTATGCAATTAACCCTTCACACTGCCACCACCTCCTTTTTGTACAGAGAGGAAACTCGGCTATACCAGCAATAACACTATAATGGTTGATAATCGTCGGTATAACCCAGTCACCGCAGGCCGGTTATACAGAGGGTTAAACAAACACGGTAGCGCTCTTTTTAGAGGCAGGAATTCGTAAATTGCAATTAAGAGCTTATAGAAACAGTTCAACACTTCCAGAAGGAAAGATTTATTACTGAAAAGTCAAAAGGGGGTGCAAGAAAATATTTACAGAACAAACATGTAACCAATATATATATAAATATACAGAGAATAACAGCACAGCAAAGAGATAATAGAAAGGAGGTTAAGGGGTTAAAGTACTTGCCAAAGTCCTGGGGTAGCAGATCAAGTTTCAGAGCAGAAGGGTGCTTTGATCTTCCTCTGTTTCGATGGTCAATGGGAGAATTCTTCAACTTCCCTCTCTTAGGCCTGACAGCCCATTTTGAAGTTCCCTAGCAGAGGGTGTCTCTGAAGTCCAGGACCAATGCCCCATTAGGGAGGGATCGTCGGGCGGAGCCCTAAACTAGAGCCAAAGTCTTTCCTAACTCATATTTTGGCTCATAACTTTCCATATGCATAAGTGACACTCCACCCGCGGGTAGATTATTATGCAGAGATGTCTGAGATTGTCTGAGGATTGATTAGATATGAATTATGAAATTCTACACTGAATGGTTCACGAGATCTATTTTTCTGCTTTCCTATGTATTCGAGACAAGGCGAGTGACCTATCAAACTGTTCGGCTCCTTTTAGCCAATCTGACGATATGTCTGGTTTTTATGTCTCTCATATTCCAAGATATAAGACATAGGGGAAAAATGGATCTTTTAAAAAACGTTATCTGGTGTGCCTCCTTGGAATATCTTTTGAACTCCTGGGAAGGCTGCGTTATCTTTTTACGAGGTGTTAAATGGCACAGGTTGCTTAGACAGCGAGGCCCCAGCTCCCTTAGAGATTTTATAGCTCCTAGCCCCCTGCTGGGCTCTGGCCTCCTGTGACACTCCTAACACACACACTGGCCAAATGTCACTGTGCCTCTCAGAGAGGGAAGGGGAAAGTATGATGGGAGAAAATGGAGATTCTTAACAAAATGGAGGCTGCGTCCTTCACTGTGTGCACGCTTGTTACACTTGTACGTCTAGGTAGGGCCAATGCACTGCATGATGTGGGCTCCATGAAAATGAAGTATTCTGCACTTAAATCTGGCTCCTTGCCCTGAAGAGTACTGCAGTGCAGCACAGCAAGGAAAACAACATATTTTGGCTTCTTAAAAAAAAAAAAAAAAAAAAAAAAAGGGGGGGGGGGGGGGTACAAGTTGGTTCAAAAAACGTTTACGCTAGTTATGTAAAAAATGGTTTCTCACTTGTGTAAAACGTGATTTCCAGATTTATTTCTGATGGATTCCCAAAGATACTAGAAGTTGGTTGGGACCATTGCTCCATTACTAGGGTACTTTGTCTACATTTAAAGTAATTGAGGCCTAACATGTTGTCTTTTACACATAGAAGTTCCCGTGTACGTAGAGAAGTATTAATCTATGTAAAAGAGCAGAACACACACAGGCTGGATCAGTCAATCAATCATAGGGGTAAAATAGTTTGATACATATGCCATATGAACACTCCTGTCTAAAGTCTTCTTTAAAAATGGAAGTTAGCATTCCTTCTGTTTAGGTTGCTAAGTATGACTTTGTAACTTTTACAGTGCCATAATCCTGAATAATTGGGCCCAGGACTTTCACAATCTAGTAGGTCATTATTGCAGTCTAAAGAAACGTTTAACTCCAAAAAGTAATTGAACAATTGTTTGCCTCGTGCCAGAGAAGTAATAGTCCGTGGGGAGAGTCTTGGCAGGACACAGCAACCGTATAATAATTACTGTTGATATAGTCTGCTCTGCACATTTCAACATTTGATTCATGGGGCCATTCATAGTTGCTGGGGTCATACTACATTCTTAACAGGGGCGTTTGTAGATATCAGAGCTTCTTGTGGAATGTTACAAATCTATTACATTTTATTAACCTCTCTATGCATTCCCATGATAGCATTGCAGGACTTCCGTGGCTTAGGAAAAAATTAATAATTACATTTGAATATAGTTGTGTATAAAACATGTTAATTATTTCTAAAAATAAGGTGATTCTGTACCACTTAGACAAATTAAGGGCTATAAAAAGTCTGTCTCTAATATATTTCAATAATTTTGTTTCCCCTTTTTGTACATCTCATCCGTACATTGATATTCTAAAAGTCTCTGATGGAATTATCAAGTCGGCAGCAGGGGCAGACGGACCATTTGGGAACTCGGGCACTGCCCGAGGGCCCGGGGTAGTAGGGGGTCCCATGAGGTGCCCCTGGTACCTTTTTCATAGCCTTTTTTGAGTTTGGGCAAGGTCACGGGCCCCATGATCCCCTATTGCCCAGGGGCCCCATGAGTTTTCAGTCCGCCCCTGGTTGGCAGTACTTTAATCACTTGCCCTCCAGAGGATTTGCCCTCCAGAGGATTTACCCTCCTTCCTGACCAGGCCATTTTTTGCGTTACGGCGCTGCATTACGTTTACTGACAATTGCGCGGGTCATGCAACACTGCACCCAAATGAAATTTACAACCTTTTTTTCCCACAAATAGAGCTTTCTTTTGGTGGTATTTGATCGCCTGTGCATTTTTTTTTTGTTTTTGGTTTTTTTTTTGTGCTATAAAAAAAAAGCGACTGACAATTTTGAGAGAATATTTTTTTTTTTTTACTTTTTTTTTTTTACTAAAAATCAAATTTCATTATAAATTTAGGCCAAAATGTATTCTGCTACATGTCTTTGCTAAAAAAAAATCCCAATACATGTAAATTAATTGGTTTATGTGAAAGTTATAGTGTTTTCAAATGGCGGTCTATATACTGGGATTTTTTTTTTTTCTTTTTTACTAGTAATGGCGGTGATCAGTGACTTATAGTGTCAGCAGGTATTCTGACACTGGGAGGAAAGCAGTTAAAATTAAGTTTTGCTTTTAATGTTCGATTTTGAAATAAAAGGAATTTTCTGACTAAAAACCACATTCAATGTTAGAATTTTGTTTTGTTTGAGAAAATTCTTTCATCCTGTTTTTTCACTTGTTTTTCATCTGTATGGTCAAAATTGTCAATTTTACTCCAATAACTATTAGAAAAGTGAACAAACTTTCTGACATCAAATTTGTTTTTTCTTAATGAAATTCTAAATACAGTGAGGAACAGAAGTATTTGAACACCCTGCGATTTTGCAAGTTCTCCCACTTAGAAATCATGGAGGGGTCTGAAATTCACATTGTAGGTGCATTCCCACTCTGAGAGACCGAATTAAAAAAAAATTCAGGAAATCACATTGTATGATTTTTAAAGAAGTTATTTGTCTTGCACTGCTGAACATAAGTATTTGAACACCTGAGAAAATCAGTGTTAATATTTGGTATAGAAGCCTTTGTTTGCAATTACAGAGGTCAAACGTTTCCTGTAGTTCATGACCAGGTTTGCACACACTGCAACAGGGATTTTGTCCCACTTCTCCACACAGATCTCCTCCAGATCTGTTTAGGTTTCGGGGCTGTCGCTGAGCAACACGGACTTTCAGCTCCCTCCAAAGATTTTCTATTGGATTTAGGTCTGGAGACTGGCTAGGCCACTCCAGAACCTTGATATGCTTTTTACGGAGCCACTCCTTGGTTATCCTGGCTGTGTGCTTCGGGTCGTTGTCATGTTGGAAGACCCAGCCATGACCCATCTTCAATGCTCTGACTGATGGAAGGAGGTTGTTGCTCAAAATCTCACAATAAATGGCCCCATTCATCCTCTCCTTAATACAGTGCAGTCATCCTGTTCCCTTCATAGAAAAGCACCCCCAAAGCATGATGTTACCACCCCCATGCTTCACAGTAGGGATGGTGTTCTTGGGATGCAACTCATCCTTCTTTTTCCTCCAAACACGACGAGTCAAGTTTAGACCAAAAAGTTCTACTTTGGTCTCATCTGACCACATGACTTTCTCCTATGCCTCCTCTGGATCATCCAGATGGTAATTGGCAAACTTCAGACAGGCCTGGACATGTGATGACTTGAGTAGGGGAACCTTCCGTGCAATGCATGATTTGAAACCATGACGGCGTAGTGTTCTACCGACAGTGACCTTTGAAACTGTGGTCCCAGCTCTCTTCATGTCATTGACCAGCTCCTTCCTTGTAGTTCTGGGCTGATTCCTCACCTTTCTTATCATCAGTGATACCCCTCGAGGTGAGATCTTGCATGGAGCCCAGTCCGAGGGAGACTGACAGTTGTCTTTAGCCTCTTCCATTTTCTAACAATTGCTCCAACAGTTGATCTATTTGCACCAAGCTGCTTGGCAATTGCCCCGTTGCCCTTTCCAGCCTTGTGGAGGTCCACAATTTTGTCTCTGGTGTCTTTTGACAGCTCTTTGGTCTTGCCCATGGTAGTAGTTGGCGTCTGACTGACTGTGGGGTGGACAGGTGTCTTTAAAGAGCTCAGACAGGTGCTACTAAGTTAGATTAATGAGTGGAGTAGAGGTGGACTTTTTAAAGGCACAGTAACAGGTCTTTGAGAGCCAGAATTCTTGCTGTTTCTTAGGTGTTCAAATACTTATGTTCAGCAGTGCAAGACAAATAAATTCTTTAAAAATCATACAATGTGATTTCCTGAATTTTTTTAAATTCTGTCTCTCAGAGTGGGAATGCACCTACAATGTGAATTTCAGACCCCTCCATGATTTCTAAGTGGGAGAATTTGCAAAATCGCAGGGTGTTCAAATACTTCTGTTCCTCACTGTATGTACCCATGTTCTACCCATAAGGAGTCAGCCTTGTCATGGAGAAGAGCCATGAAAGAAGCAGAAATAATTCGGCTATAGTACTCATTATTAGGTGTCTACAGGTGGCTTGGCTTTAGATTTGTGCTGTCATTTCCTAGGGTTTATGAAACCCGGGGTGCTCAACAATTTAAGATGTGTAGAAAATGCGCACCCTCCCAACTTTTGCATCATTAGCCCATTATTGTACAAAGCTGCCTTGCTGACCATTAATGAGACACTGGAGGTGGGAAGGAGCAGGCTGGAACTTGGTGTTTTCAGAGTTGAGATGTACAAGATATTGAGGATCCCCTCAGGATTCAAGACTATGGGTTGCTCTGGCATACAGCTTAGCTCTTGCCTGGAGGTGCCTACTATAATATTATGTCAGCAGCTTACAAAGTGTTCTCTCACAATGGCTTTGCTAAATGGATTCCTGGAGCTCATACTAAAAATGCAGAAATATCAAGTGCTCCTCATCTATGATTACTGTAATGATTTACCTGCAGTTTGTCCCGTGGCAAACAATTCCTTGAAGTAGCTTGTGTATATTGTCAAAGCGGATCCGAGTTGTGGTCGTATGGAAGGCAAGCTGGCCATATTCCTTTTTTTCAGAGATGCAAAGTTCAATAAGAAATCTGTGCACAATGAGACAAGGAATGACATTTACCCCTTGACAGCTTCCCAGACATAACTGTCATGTTTGTTTAGGGTCAGTACACAAGTATGCTAGCTAAACACAGGCTGTATTATATTACTGCCGCCTTGTTAAAGTATACCTTTCATAATGGAAGTACAGGGCTACTGCAATGGTAATAATTTACCTCTCTCTGTAAATGCCAATTCCCTAATAAATATATATATATATACAGTCAGGTCCATAAATATTGGGACATCGACACAATTCTAACATTTTTGGCTCTATACACCACCACAATGGATTTGAAATGAAACAAATAAGATGTGCTTTAACTGCAGACTGTCAGCTTTAATTTGAGGGTATTTACATCCAAATCAGGTGAACGGTGTAGGAATTACAACAGTTTGCATATGTGCCTCCCACTTGTTAAGGGACCAAAAGTAATGGGACAGAATAATAATCATAAAATCAAACTTTCACTTTTTAATACTTGGTTGCAAATCCTTTGCAGTCAATTACAGCCTGAAGTGTGGAACGCATAGACATCACCAGACGCTGGGTTTCATCCCTGGTGATGCTCTGCCAGGCCTCTACTGCAACTGTCTTCAGTTCCTGCTTGTTCTTGGGGCCTTTTCCCTTCAGTTTTGTCTTCCGCAAGTGAAATGCATGCTCAATCGGATTCAGGTCAGGTGATTGACTTGGCCATTGTATAACATTCCACTTCTTTCCCTTAAAAAACTCTTTGGTTGCTTTTGCAGTATGCTTTGGGTCATTGTCCATCTGCATTGTGAAGCGGCGTCCAATGAGTTGTGAAGCATTTGGCTGAATATGAGCAGATAATATTGCCTGACACACTTCAGAATTCATCCTGCTGCTTTTGTCAGCAGTCACATCATCAATAAATATAAGAGAACCAGTTCCATTGGCAGCCATACATACCCACATCATGACAATACCACCACCATGCTTCACTGATGAGGTGGTATGCTTAGGATCATGAGCAGTTCCTTTCCTTCTCCATACTCTTCTCTTCCCATCTCTCTGGTACAAGTTGATCTTGGTCTCATATGTCCATAGGATGTTGTTCCTGAACTGTGAAGGCTTTTTTAGATGTCGTTTGGCAAACTCTAATCTGGCCTTCCTGTTTGTGAGGCTCACCAATGGTTTACATCTTGTGGTGAACCCTCTGTATTCACTCTGGTGAAGTCTTCTCTTGATTGTTGACTTTGACACACATACACCTACCTCCTGGAGAGTGTTCTTGATCTGGCCAACTGTTGTGAAGGGTGTTTTCCTCACCAGGGAAAGAATTCTTTGGTCATCCACCACAGTTGTTTTCCATGGTCTTCCAGGTCTTTTGGTGTTTCTGAGCTCACCGGTGCTTTCCTTATTTTTAAGAATGTTCCAAACAGTTGTTTTGGCCACGCCTAATGTTTTTGCTATCTCTCTGATGAGTTTGTTTTGTTTTTTCAGCCTAATGATGGCTTGCTTCACTGATACTGACAGCTCTTTGGATCTCATCTTGAGAGTTGACAGCAACAGATTCCAAATGCAAATAGCACACTTGAAATGAACTCTGGACCTTTTATCTGCTCATTGTAATTGGGATAATGAGGGAATAACACAAACCTGGCCATGGAACAGCTGAGAAGCCAATTGTCCCATTATTTTTGGTCCCTTAACAAGTGGGAGGCACATATGCAAACTGTTGTAATTCCTACACCGTTCACCTGATTTGGATGTAAATACCCTCAAATTAAAGCTGACAGTCTGCAGTTAAAGCACATAGTGTTTGTTTCATTTCAAATCCATTTTGGTGGTGTATAGAGCCAAAAATGTTAGAATTGTGTCGATGTCCCAATATTTATGGACCTGACTGTGTATATATATATATATATATATATATATATATATATATATATATTATATATATATTCTAAAATATACTGTATGTGTGTTCATATATTTATATGGATCTAAGGGGTTGAAACAACTAATCAACATAATTGATAATGAATATAGTTGACAACTATTTTTATAATCGATTAGTTGGCCTTCATACAGAATGCATTTTTTGTTTACTCATTAGGAAA